TTCCTGCTCCTCTGATGCTGCTTGGCCTGCTGTGTTCATCCAGCTCTGCACCTTGTTATCTCAGATTCTCCAGCATTGGCGGTTCCTACTATCTCTAGACAGCAATATCAACAAGTTTCATCCCACCATCAGACTTACCATGGACTATTCTTTAAAATCAGTCTCATTCTTGGACACACGCACCTCCATAGGGACGGATCCCTCAGCACCTCACTCTATCGCAAGTCTAAGGATAACCTCGTGATGTTGCACTTCTCTAGCTTCCACCCTAAACAAAATAAAAGCAGCCACCTCCTAAAGGCAAACCCCACACATGCACAGGATCTGTTCAGATAAGAAGGAACGCAGTGGACACCTGAAGGTGTTGAATGACACCCTCATAAGAACAAGATATGATGCTCAACTCATCAGTTGCCAGTTCCGATGTGCCACAGTGAAAAACCATAATGACCTCCTCAAAAGACAGACACGGAATACGACCGATAGGGTACCCTTCATCATCCAGTACTTCCTGGGATTGGAGAAACTACGCCATGTTCTTTGCAGCCTTCAACACATTATCGATGAAGATGAGCACCTCGCCAAGATCTTCCCTACACCTCCACTTCTCGCCTTCAAACAACCACCAAACCTTAACAGACCATTGTTCGCAGCAAACTACCCAGCCTTTAGGACATAGACCACATGCTATACAACCCTGTCACGGCAACCTCTGCAAGACATGTCAGATCATCAACATGGACACTACCATCACACATGGGAACACCACCCACCACGTGCACGGCAGATACTCATTTGACTCGGCTAACGTTGTCTATTTCATATGCTGCGGGCAAGGATGCCCTGAGGCATGGTATATTGGCAAAATCACACAAACACAATGACAGCAGAAGAATGGACACCATGCAACAATTGCCAGACAGGAATGTTCCCTGTCAGTGAGGGAACACTTCAGCAGTCAAGGATATTTGGCCTCCAATCTTCAGTAAACATCCTCTAAGGTGGACTTCGGGATACACAACAACACAGAGTCGCCGAGCAGAGGCTGATAGCCAATTTCGGTACCCATGAGGACGGCCTCAAGCAGGATCTTGGGTTCATGTGGCACTACAGGTGACCCCATCACACAACACACCCTCATACACACCCTCACACACACAGACACACACGCACACATACATACACACACACTCTCTCACACAAACACGCACACACTCATACAGACCCACACACACAAATCCATGGGGTGAATTTGCATTTGCAGATTTGTAATTGCAGATATATTCTATTTTATTCAAACAGCACACAAAGTGTAGACAGTCAATGTGGCATTTTTTAAATTCCTACTTTGGAAATAAAAGCAGTCTGACTCCAAGTTAAAACACAGACTGATTCCGAATAAAGCCTCACATGCAATGTCTGACCTGAGATGAGACTTCTGGTATTTCTGATAAAACCTTTAGTTATCTCAGGGCAGTGACTTGAAAGAAATTCTGGGATTGATGTATTAATCAAACGAAACCTGCATTTCCTTCCTAACCAATTAAAGATTTAACAGACATCTTAGGTTTGTTCAATACAATTACATCAGTTCTGTGACCCTTTGATCTTTTACTTACAAAATCTGTGCCTGATGCCACCTCTCTCATGCTGACCTGAAGAAGGAGCAAGACTCTGAAAGTTTGTGTTTTCAAATAAATCTATTAGACTATAACTTGGTGTTGTGTGATTTTTGACTTTGAGAATTATTGAGCATTGTTCCTATAGATTTTTGTTATTGTATAAGAAAGTTATAGTTGACACTTTTTCAAGTAATGTTCCTACCATTATTTAACCCTCTTTCTTAATCCAATCTATCGTTCATTTTCTTTATTAATCTTCCTTTACCTGGTTCATCTATGAATTTAATATTTTGACACATTTTGATTCAGTACTTGTGAAGTTGATGAACAATTCTTCACCAGGATTGGTTGATGAGAAGTCTGGTTTGCCCTGTTCACAGAGGTTTCAAACTCTCGAAACAGTGCACTGTGCTTTTTTGATAGTTGGTTGATGGGAGTCCCTAGTGTAAAAGCCCATAGCAATCTGTTTCCTCCATCACCACTGCAGACATCAGGTCGGTCTTCCTGAGAACGAACTCAAGGAAAGTGATGGGTCCGGACAAGTCCCTGACCGTGCACTTACATCCTGTACGGACCAGCTGGCGCAGTTATTCACTGACATCTTCAACTTCTCCCTCCTACAAGCATAAGTCCCACCTGCTTCTAGAAGACCACCATCATCCCAGTACCAAAGAAAGCACATGCAACGTGCCTTAATGTCTACTGCCTTGTGGCTCTGACCTCCATAATCATGAAGAGCTTCAAGAAGCTGGTCATGGCCCAAATTAACTCTAGCCTCCCAACCTGCGTCGATCCTCTGCAATTTTCCTACCAGCATACAGGTCTACAGAGGACACCATTTCCCTAGCCCTGCAATCATCCCTGGAACTTCTGGACAAGAAGAACACCTACGTCAGACTCCTACTCATCGAAAACAGCTCTGCCTTCACCACCATTATCCCCTCCAGACTCAAAACTCAGAGATGTAGGTCTCGGCTTCTCCCTCTGTAACTGGATCCTTAGCTTTCTGACCCATAGACTGCAATCAGTGAAGATGGACAACTGCATTTCCTCCACGCTAACCCTGAACACTGGATCACCACCCCCCCTCCAAAGGATGCGTTCCCAGCTTCCCACTGTACTCCCTGTACATCCACGACTGTGTAGCCAAATTCCGAACAAACACCATCTACAAGTTTGCTGATGACACCATTGTGGTAGGCTGGATATCAAACAACAATAAGTCATAATACAGGAAGGAGATTGAAGGCTAGGTGTCGTGGTGCAATGATAACAACCTCTGCTCAATGTCGGCAAAAGAAAAGAATTGATCATCGACTTCAGGAAGAAAGGGGGAGAACACGCCCTCATCTATATCAATGGAGTGGAGGTTGAGAGGGTTGAGAGCGTCAAGTTCCTAGGAGCAATGATAACTGACAACCTGTCTTGGTTGTCCCACGTAGATGCAACAGTCTTCTTCCTCAGGCTGCTTAGGAAATTCGGCATATCCATAAGAACCCTAATCAATTTTTG